TTTCTGCCGGCTCTATCAGAGGCCTTGCAGGAGCACCCTCTGCATGCTTCCCGTCGGGCTACATGCTCTTGTTTCTACACCCGGTTGCTGCTACTGCTGTTATGTGTCGTGGGAGAGGAGGTGTGATCTGCAAGCGCTTGATGGTAAGTTTCTGCTCTTTCATGTGGAAGAGCCTGGATGATTAAACGTGTCCTTAGAGATCCTGGACGCTTCCGAGCCTGACTAAGTTGAAGACAAGGGTTTGGGGCGGATAGGGGGATGGCAGGGACTATACTGCAGGTTGGTATAGCAATGCCTCGCTCTGCGAAAGCACTGATTTTCGGAATACCTCCTGGATTCACCAACCCAGGATCCAAACCGTCCAAACCTCCCGAATCCAAAGCCCAAGCCGAAAATCGGCTCTTGAAGTCTTACCGGAAGGAGCTTTGGTCGCTCCTCGGCCGAAACAAGCTCCAGCGGCTTAGCTGCAGATCGTCGCATTAAGCTTAGGCCTGGGAGCTACACTCCAAAAACTTCCTCAGCCTGATTTCTGCGCTTCTAGTCAGCAACAGCAAATGCTGCTATTGCTACCGTCGTGCTTGTGCTACTGCTACTGCTGCTGTGACTACTTTCTCATTATGACGACTACGACGATCCGAAAAAATCGCATTTGCAGGAGCCACCCACAAACCACAACTACTGGTACCACTGCCACTGCCACTGCCAATACCGCTACAACTACAGCTACAACCACCACTGCCCTTGTTGCCGTCGTTGTTGTTGCTGTTGGTGGTGGATTCTACCACTGCTACTACTACTACTACTACTACTACTACTACCACCGCTACTGCTACTACTGCTGCTGCCGCTGCTGCTGCTGCTGCTGCGCTACTGCTACTGCTGCTACTCCTGCTAGTACTGCTGCTACTACTGCTACTACTACTACTACTACTACTACTACAACTACTACTACTACTGCTACTACTGCTACTACTGAGTACTTCGTAAGACATACTACTTACTACTTGCTAGCTCCTAACTACGCTATCAGCTCAAAACTCTTATCTACAAACTAGCTACTAGCTACTCCGGACGACTTGCACTACAAAAGGAGGAGCCACATACCCAGAGAAGCACGACAGTTCTGAAATAGCCGAGGGCCGAAAAACACTTGGGACGTTTCCTTGCCGAGGCCCGGGGGGCAGCTTCAATGTGTTAGGTCTGGCAATGAGTGCCTATGTTCATAATCATGAGTAACCATGGTAAGAATACCCATGATTGAAGCCAACACCTTATGGGTCTGATCATGGCTCTAGCTCCAGCGTCGCTGCCAGCTTGCGAGGAGTGTAACTTGCAACGACGGTAAGATCCAGAATGAAAGCTGTGCAAGCGATAACGATCCAAGTTACTTTGGCGACTTACTGTCAAAGTGGGAAACGGGTTTGGAGTATGCGGGCTTCATGCACCTGTAATGCGATGTTGTATTCACTGTTTAGAATCTTGGGTTTGAGGGTTAGGGGTATTGCATCTCGGGCTAAGGCTGGACGTTTTTGCGGCAGTCAAATAAGAAGCCTAACAGTCTGCAAGGCTTCTTGGATTGTTTTCTGTCTCAGCCTATAATCGTATATCCATGCTCGAAATAGCTCGTAAAACCATGAAGCACAACAATCCGGTTGAAAGCCCTAGCTACGGAGAGCATGTGGAGCATGGCCAATGTGCTCTGATTGTTAAGCCTTATCTGACCTTGGGCTATCAACCTCAAACCCACCAAATTCTACACTCTCAGCTTACACCTTCTACACTAAACTCGAAAAGTTGCCTAAGCTGATTGCGCAAGGACATTAACAGAAAATCCTGCCACTTTGATTGGAAGCGCTGAAATACTAATCAATCGGCTTACTGCCAGCACTGGCTGCGAGGTGACGCCAGAAAATGGTGGCCAGTTCTTACTTGCCTTCCTCAGCGAGCTGGAGGCTTCGGTTTTGAGGGGTGTATCATGCTCTAGAGGTTTACAGGGACTGTTTATGGTTTACAGGCTTTCATTGTGTCTAAACTGAGGCCTTTTGCTGGCTAGGGTTACGGGGTCAAGGTGGGCCAGTGATCTCAGCTTTCCAAAACGGCGTCCGAATTTCAGGACCCGAAATCGTAAACCATCCTACGCCCTAAATCCTGAACCCGGAAACGAGACATATACCTCCCGGAGGCCATGGATTTCCAGGATAAGCTGAACTTGATGGCCACTTTCTTCGAGTCGCAGCACGACCGCCTGCATAAGGTCTTCTGGAGGTTTGGAGTTAAGCCCTGAACTTAACCCTGAGATCCTGAAATGCAGACCCCCAGAGACTTAAGCTTAAACCCTTAAGCCCCTAAACCCCTAAACCCCTGCCCCCAAATCCTAAAGCCCTAAACCTTTCAACCATGAACCTTCTCATAGCCTTTACAGGTTGGAGCAGAGGCTCCCATTCCTACCAGGGCTACTGGAGCATCCTGGCGTGTACTGCGATGGCTGTGGTAGTACGCCTCTACTCGGCCCGCGCTTCAAGTGCGTTTCCTGTCCTGACTATGATCTATGTGGTGTATGCTATGCAAACAGAATGCAGCTACATGGAGGCGACTGTGACACGCACGACTTCACATGCAACTTGTCAGAGGCCACACACCCGCTGCACATGAAGCTCATGGCTCGTGCGTTGAAGCAAACTGGGCCTTTAGCCTTTGTCCTGGGCATGTTCGGATTGAACGGCAAGAATGCGAAAGCGGGCAAGGGAAACGCGAAGGGTAAGCATGAGGTCTCAGGGACGGGCCCAGTCGACCAAAGCTGTGACAGAAGCACCGTTCACTGCGTGGATCTCCCGGTTCAAGGCAGCTACTTCGAGTTGGGTGGCAGACCCTCGGACAACAGTGCTGCAGAAAGTGGTGCAAAGATCAAGCGCTGTGCGACAGACGGCTGCCAGTACCAGGCCCACAAGGGCGACTACTGCTGCGGGGCATGTGCCAAGGGCAAGCGTTGTGGACATGGCACACGCTGCCAGCGTGCGCTCTTCGACAGTGAGCTAGCTACAGAAAGTTTGGGCTGTCAGCAAGGCGGCAAGCGTTGCGCCACTCCGGGCTGCCAGTACCAGCCAACCTGGCATGCAGAGTACTGCTGCAAGGTCTGTGCCAAAGGCAAAGGTAGCCATGGCCCGAATTGCGAAAAGGTAGCAGCCACATGCAGCGACAGCAGCGAAGATACAGAGAGCAAGGCCGTGAAAATGAAGCGCTGTGCGACAGACGGTTGCCAGTACCAGGCCCACAAGGGCGACTACTGCTGCGGGGCATGTGCCAAGGGCAAGCGTTGTGGACATGGCACACGCTGCCAGCGTGCGCTCTTCGACAGTGAGCTAGCTACAGAAAGTTTGGGCTGTCAGCAGGGCGGCAAGCTTTGCGCCACTCCGGGCTGCCAGTACCAGCCAACTTGGCATGCAGAGTACTGCTGCAAGGCCTGTGCCAAAGGCAAAGGTAGCCATGGCCCGAAGTGCGAAAAGGTAGCAGTCACATGCAGCGACAGCAGCGAAGATACAGAGAGCAAGGCCGTGAAAATGAAGCGCTGTGCGACAGACGGTTGCCAGTACCAGGCCCACAAGGGCGACTACTGCTGCGGGGCTTGTGCCAAGGGCAAGCGTTGTGGACATGGCACACGCTGCCAGCGTGCCCTTTTTGACAGCGGAATGGCTCCGTGGAAGAACGAAGCCACGGGTAGCATCAGCGAGACAGGCCCGGATGCGGAGTCGAAGAAGATTGCTGACAAGCCGTGCGCAGCAGCAGGATGCACATATCAGGCACGGTTGGGCGAACATCCTCAAACCCCCAAAATAGAGGAAGGGTCGTATACCCAACAAGTCTTGCGAGCCATGTCTGCTCTCGAGACTTGAGACGTGATGTCGGAAAAGCCCAACTTGCCCCGCCAGGTGACTTGGCACGAGACTCATTGCTGCTATGCCTGCGCTGCCCATGGACCCGGGAGCCATGGCCCTCACTGTGAGAGGGTGGAGCAGTAGAGTCGTAGAGTATTGATCTCCCAAAGACCGCGCGACTACTCCGAATCAGGGTCTTTTAATGTGCGAATACAGGGGTCTGAATAATTAGTTATCGGGGTTCCACTCATTGTCCCTACCAGTTTAGCTACTAATGTATAATATACCACAAAACTTCTTTAATCATGAATGGCCCGGCATTTTTCATTGTTAGGGCGGAGATTCATCCCTGTCCCCTACTTCCAAGCCAGCCGCCAAACTCGGGGCAGCAATGGTCCGTGGTTAGGCAGTCCACTGTCAAGCGTTGTGTTCTGTAGTTGCGAGCATTCGGGAGACCGTCTGTTCAGGGTCGTGGGAGGCGTGCAGCGCCGGCAAAGGCTTCCGGCCTCGGGCAGAGTGACAGGAACAGGTCGTCCTCGAGGCAGAGCTTTGCCAGGCAGAGCCCAAACCTACCATTCTCACACCAGGCACTTGTGTTCACAGGCCTCGGTGGAAAAGGCCTGCGATGCACCGGCTTGCTGTGCTCTGGCCTTTCTGCATGTGCGCATGCTTGGTTTGTACTATTGCTGCCCAGAGAGATCTTGATGAAAAACATGGGCAGCCCGAAGTGTGTTCAACTTCGATCTGCATGCTCAGACCTGACTAGTCTGCATGTGTTCGTCTTTCGATGGTCGTCGGGCTCTCGAGTGTCATTAGCAGAGAGAAAGAGAGAGAGCCTCCCATGCCCCCGAGAGAGAGGCAGAGAGAGAGCAACTCACATCAAATCCAACGACTTCTTCGGACAGCCCCACAACCCAGACATACGTGCCGCTGCAAGCCTGGCTATGCTTGCTACGACTTTCACGCAAAAGCCAAGCCCTCGACCTTGATTCATGTGCCGTTGCAAAAACACCTCAAGCTTCGAAATGCAGGAACCCCAATCAACCCACATGTAGCACGACCCGAGAGCTGAACCCCAGTACTAATCACGCACTAGCTATCATTATGCTTCTTCCTCCTATGCTACAGGTGCCACGCACCTCCGCGGGCGGCGCCGCCCGCGCGGTTCGGTCCCAGCAACCCAAGAGGCAAGAGGGGCTTTGAAAAGCAGGACGAGCAGACAAGAACAGCAGAGGCTAAGGGGCAGGAGAGACAGAGGCAGTCTTTGCGAATTACAACAGCAACACGGTATTAAATTCCCAAAATTGTTTGGGGAATATCGAGTAAGCCAGTGTCGCGATGCGGAAACCAGGACTATGATCGAAAAACTTCGTCAATCCTCCTCAGGAGCACAACAGCATCAACCGCCACAACAACACCCTCCACGCCCGCCGCCACAACCACTACTACTGCTACCACTATTGCAGCAACAACAACAGCCAACAACGACAGCAACAACAACACACCCGACGACCACCCCTGCTGCTGCTGCTACTACTACTACTACTACTACAACTACTACTACGACTACTGAACTGCTGCTACTACTACTACTACTACTACTACTACTGCTACTGCTTTTACTACTACTACTACTACTACTACTACTACGACGACGACGACGACGACGACGACGACGACGACGACGACGACTACGACCACTACGACGACTGCTACTAGTACTAGTACTACTGCTACTACTACTACTACTACTACTACTACTACTACGACTACTACTACCACTACTACAACTGCTACTACTACTACTACTACTACTACTACTACTTCTACTAATAACTTCTAGTACTGCTACGACTACTACTACGACTGCTACTGCCACTGCGACTGCTACTGCTACTGCGGCTGCTACTGTGGCTGCTGCTGCTGCGGCTGCTACTTCTACTTGTACTGCTACTGAAACTGCCACTGCCACTTCCACTGCCACTGCCACCGCCACTGCCACTGCCACTGCTTCTGCTACTGCTGCTGCTACTGCGACGACCATTACTACACCTACTTGCCTATCTACCTCCTCTCCTGCCTACCCATGTGCCCTACCCACCCTGATATTCAGCAGTATGTCCTGTTGCTTCTTGTGAATTACCAACATCGTTCTCACCATCTTGATACCCATCGCCACCCGTCATGATGATCATCATCATCGTCATCATCATCACCATCATCATCATCATCGTCGTCATCGTCGTCGTCGTCATCATCATCATCATCACCACCATCGTCACCATCATGATCACACCACCACCACCACCACCACCACCACCACCACCACCACCACCACTACCATCAGCAGCATCATCATCATCATCATCATCATCATCATCAGCAGCAGCATCAGCATCAGCATCAGCATCAGCATCAGCATCGGCATCAGCATGAACAGCATCATCACCATCATCATCATCATGACTGCCATGACCACCACCGTGATCACCATCATCACCATGACTGCCATCACCACCACCATCATCACCATCCTCCTCATCCTCTCCTGATCCTTCTCCTCATCCTTCTCCTCATCCTCATACTCATCCTCATCCTCATACTCATCCTCATACTCATCCTCATTCTCCTCATCCTCGTCGTCATCGTCATGGCCATCGTCATCGTCATCGTCATCGTCATCATCTTCATCCTTACAATCCTCATCATCCTGATCATCATCATTTCATTATGTCAGTCTTTATCTTCATTGTTATCGCCAGCAACACCGTCATAGCCACAATCATCATAGTCAGCCATGAGCACAGTCAGCATCGCTTCATTGGCACCGCGCATCACACCGCCATCGCCGCCAACTGCCATCACCGCCATCACCAGTCATTTCCAAAAGGCTCACAAGCAGCTCCTACATAAGGCCTCCAACTAGCTTGGTGTGCGCTTGCCTAGCAGCCGGGTCCGTTCTAATAGTTGCACTTGAAAAGTTACTCCGTAACTTTTCCATAGACCCTGAACAGCCCCTTAAACCTCATAGTGCAATGACATCACACATCGCATAAGCAATCTGCATCTGAAGGCGTGCAGAGCGCCCCGCTCCTCTGGAGAGCACCGAAGGCCAAGTGTGCTTCGTGGCTTCCGGGTTGAGGGTTCAGAGCAGAAGGTCGCGCACCCAACTCAAAACCGGGCGCAAGGCTTTCGTAGAAGTAACCGCAGTAAAGAACCTGGGTTTTCAAAGCTTCAAGGGATGGCGGCATGAGGGGCTGCTAGTCGAGCCTGCCCAGTATTATGACTACAGTCCAGCGATGTCCGACATATTAATTTTGATTTGTGTTATCGTTGGCTTGTGAGTGCTGGCGCCTCAGCCAGGCTGTAGACACTGCTCGGGATCGTAACTTGTCGTTGCAGCTGTTGGAATCCTTGCTTCCCCCGCAAAACCGAGACCCCTATGATGATACAGACCTTGTTCATTCCCCGGATGGCGTCAAGCAGCCCTCAACACTAAACCAATCGGAATCCTGCACGATGCCTCTTCTACTGAAACCTTAACTCCCAAAGCCCTGTGAATTCCCTGCGGCTGAGCAGAATCGGGCTTATGAGGTCTGCTTCCAGTGGAGCAGGAAGAGGCGTCGCAGCTTGGGAACTTGCGGGCTGAGGGCTTAGGGGTTTAGCGTTGTTCGTCTTCTTTTTGTTGGAATCTAGGACTCAGGTCTTAGAGTCGTAGAGCTCTCAGTCTCTTCATCGCTGACTTCATTGGCTTTCTGGATATTGGGATTCGGAAGTTTGGTTGAAGGTGACCGTTGGAGTTCGGAGAGATAGCCCTGAGCACCAACGAAGCAGAGATGCGAGCTCTTGCCGCGGTTGCGACGACTGCAGCCTTGACCCCTAAACTTCAAGCCCTTCGTGAACACCAGCACTCTAAACCCTAGCCCTTAGCCCTAAACCTGGAACCTCAACCCCCCTGTCAACTCGGTTCTACCTAGGGTCTTGGTTGCAGCCCAACAATGGAAGGCTTTAGCAGTACGAGGATCGCCCGGGTGAGTATCATAGACCCTCAACCTCCTGCCGAATAGCCCGTGTTTCCTAGGGCTTAGCGGTTAGTGACGATGGTTGGGCGTAGGATTTAGTATGTAACAACTAAATAGATAAATAAATGAATACGTATGTATGTATGTATGTATGTATGTATGTATGTATGTATGTATGTGTGTGTATATATATATATATACGCGTGTTTATTTATGGTTATCATTTTTTGAAGAGGTGGTGCAAGAGAGGTTGGGTTGAGTGTTTGGTTCAGGAGGAGCTGCCGAACTATTTCTGCATCCGCTTGGAGAAGGCACTTTGCATCCTGCGAGTTGTCACTAGACGCTGTAGCAGCAACAGCCGGAATGGCAACAGTGATGCTAGCAACGTTGGCAGGAGCATGAGGGGAGTAAGGACAACTTGCAGTTTTTTCATAGCCGCAGCAGTAGCAATTAGAGAGCTGAATGTCCGTTGCAATCGCAGTCGTCGTTGTCGTCGTCACCATAGTCGGCATCGGGCGGTCGTCGTGGTGGTGGTGGTGGTGCACTGCGAACGTCACGGTGGCTGACGTCAATCAATGGTAGCACGACAAACAACATTATGCTTCAGCAACTTGATATCTGTTTCAAGCAATTCATGCTGCAAGTCTTATGTCATACCAGAAAGCTAGATCAAGTACAACCAGGAAGACGAACTAATGGTGAATAGCGGCAACATTTCGATGAGGGCAGCGGCCCCGGCGGTCTCCTGGCTTCCCTGGGGGCAGCGCTGAAGCCGCCGGTGCGCGCCACTGGGCTGCAGGGGGCTGGCAGCCCTGCCAGGGGTGGGGGTGGGGGGGAGGGGCGATGAGTGTGGAGGCATGTGGAATTGGTTTTCTGGTGTATCGGCGTTGCTGGTGACCCTGCTTTTGGGGTTTATGGGCTGCATTACTGTAGTTGCTGGTTGAAAGGAACATGGGACCTTCACTTTCTCTTACGGCGTCAATCAACAGATCGTGTGGCTGTAGGTGGTCGTGCAGATGGCGTCGTACGTGTCACTACTTGAGGTGTGCTTCTGATCGTATGTCGCCATTGAAGACCATTGATAGGGGCCGCTTCTTATGTGCTTGGACTTATTCCAGGAGAGGCTGTCAGAGACCTCCTCCTCGCCAGCTCAACACCCTAAACTCAAAATCGAAGACCCTAACCAGCGGCATCCAAGGACCGAGCGGGAATCCTGCGTCGGTTGGGTGCTCGGCCTTTGAGGTGAGTCTGGAGTTTAGGGCTTAAAGCTTTGGGCCCAGCTAGACTCCAATCTCCAAACTTGCAGCTGCAAGCCCAAAGCCCTAAGCTTGAAGTCAACCTGGAGCTGCTACTAAACCCTAATTCCCTAAACCCAGTAAGCCTAAAGGCCAGCGGGCCTTGAATTTGGGCGCGTTTTCCCAGGGCGGAGGCGCGACGGACGGTCCACCTCAGCCCTGATGAGGAGCGCAGCGGGGTTCAAGTTTTTGGTCTAGGGGTTTAGGAGGGTTTGGCGTTTGGGGGTTTAGTAAGGTTTAGGGCCTAGGGACTCTCTGTAGGGTTTAGGGCTTTAGTCAGGTTGAAGGTCTTTGTTCAATGGTGCCGGGATCAAGTTTGGGGGATTTAGGACTTACAGCTTAGGGGGTGGGGAGTCGAGCCCAGGGCGTCGACCTTATCAGGGTTGAGCGGGGTTTGATATGAAGCCTGTAGGACTTCATCTACATAAGCCACCGGGCATAGCGCGACGAGCCAAAACTCAACATGTGGTCATATGATGATGTTCTGATGCATAGACAGCAAGAATGATCTTCCAGGCGCGGTCGAGCAAAGTATGTCTACAGAACATAGCACAGTATTGGCTCACAAAGTAGTCGCTGCGAAGCATTACAAGTAGTGCTAGCATCGGGAAGAGCCCATTGCTGCTGGGCAGCCGTAGTTACACAGCAAGTTCGGTCAAGACAGTCCAGCACAGCCAGAATGACGAGTCCTGATACGTAAGCCAGTGAGGAGCTGGATCGTAGAGAAGACGAGCTGCGGCTTGACCTAAGAGCATGATTACCTGGCGTGGTCTGTTTCGTAGGAGGAAAGCTTGGTTGCTTGCCCTCTGTGGTAACCTGCACCAAAACTCTGAAACCGAAACAGCCGGAACTCTGAACCTGCCAGGAGGATGCTGGGCTGTGGTCCGAGTGGGCAACATGCCAAGTGCTGGTGCTGCTCATGCTGTTGCTTGGTGCTGTGGTACCTGTACTTTCATTGCCAGCGTTTCTGTTCTAGATGACCGTGGTATCATGCACTTCCGCACGTTTTTTATTCACCCAACTTTCATCTGTACGACTGCCACACTTAGCCTGTGTGATCGTTGGTTGTCATGGGTCATTCCGCTGTTGCTGCACGCTCTTCAGGAGGAGACTGCCTGAGTTGCGTTTTGTACAAGCATTCTTAAGCCTATGGAGCAATGTCACTCTTAGGCTTGGGCCCTGCAAGCTTTGATCAATTGGTGTTGACAGCTCTCCTGCGCGAACTAGAGAACGGGCTGGCCGAGCCGTCATGAAGTTTACAGCCGCCGTAGTGATAGTTGACGTACTCGTCGTGAAGGGAAATCGGGCACAAAAAGATCAGCAGTCGTAGGAACCGTTAGGCTCGGAGCAGGAGCACAAAAGCAGCGATGCTAGTCAAGTAGTAGTAAAGGTCATCAAAAAATGCCTCGACAATAGTTTGTGACCTCGGAAACTGGGATCCCAACCTGCTGACTGGAGCTTTTGCTTTTCTCCCAAGATGTCCAGGTCACGAACTACACGCACGCTGGCTTGGAGCGCGCTGTCTCGACGGTTCGCACGGGGTGGGAATGGAGGGGCCTCGATCTGGAATCTTCGACTCCAGATTGAACGTTTGCTTCGATTGTTCCAATCAGCTGTTGGTGCTTGGTGTTGCTACTCTGTCTACATGATTCACTTTGCCAGGCGCGATTCCTTGGCATGAACTCATGAATCCAGTGTAAACGGCTGCGGAAAACCTAACCCTCACAAGGCACTTGTCTTACCTCATCCGGAAGAGCTGGCTCAGGGCCTTGTCGACCCCAAGCCGTCAGGTACCTAATCATTTCCAGGTCCTCGCTCCTACACGGCACTCCCGAGGATATCAGACCCTCGATGATTGGCAAGTAAGATTGTATGCAAAGAGTGATGGCTTACCAAAGCTTTCATACTTTTGATCCCGGCGACTCCCTGACTTGCCCTTCCTTTATGACACTTTGAGGAATGTTGTTTCGTCAAGGAGGAGTCTCCGTGAACCTGTAACTTGAACCCCTTGACAGAATACGGCTACATCCGAAGCCTAAGCTCTAAGCCTAAAGGTCAACCCCGTAAGCCTCAAACCCACGCCCCACCCTTCAATTCAAAGAGCCGCCAGGCCGAACCGCCTTCCTGCGACCCCACGAACAGCCAGCGAAATTCGCAGGCCCAGGGTTTTGAGCTTTGCACTTTCGAGTTTCAACGGGGCTATCTCCTTGTCTTCAGGGTCTGCCACGGGAGTTTGGAGCGCAAGCACCGGCTTGAAGGTCAGTCGGAACTGGAGAGGGGAGGTGTCAGTTTTGTTATTTGGGCGCTCCAAATGCATCAGCATGCTGCGCTCGCCGCGGACCACCTCCTCCCTCTCTCTGTCTCTCCATCTCTCTGTGCGTCTCTCGCTAGCTCTCCCTCTCTCTCTCGCGCGCACGCACACACACACACACAAACACACACACAAACACACACAAACACACAAACACACAAACACACAAACACACAAACACACAGACACACAAACACACTCACACACAAACACACTCACACACAAACACACACACACACACACACTCACACACAAACACGCACAAACACACACACACACACACAACACAAACACACACAAACACACACACACACACACACACACACACACACACATATATATATATACACAAGCGCACAAATCGAGAAGGGAGCCAAAATATAAACACGGACACAAGTACGCATA